CTGAGAGTGCACAGGGCAAAAGCATGCACTGCCCTCAATAATCTTCAATGGGAATGTGTGGTAGAGCAATATTTAGGGCAAGCAAAAACTGTGGGCAAGTCACTTCCCTTTCAATCAAGAAACTGAAAGGATTGGAGTAGCTGATGGGCTTGCTGAAGTGTCAGCTACAGCTTCAGCAACCAAAACTGACTGCGTCCCTCTCCAATGCTGTTACGCTTATTGTAAAGCATTCACAACAGGATGAAGGCTGCAAAACAAAGGGAAGAATCATGAGGAAGACACCAGGAGGCTTGTAAACATGGAGTCGATGGGCTGTTGCACAGCAGGACTTACACAGCACTCAAAACACCCCGGAATGTGAACCTTAGGTATTGCCGTGATCCAGACTTGGGGTGTCCCCCAGAGTCTTGTGGACTCCCAGGCGGGGCTTGTGGAAAGCGGGTCCCGGCTGGGAGGTGGGTCCCCAGGGTACGACCAGTGCACTGTGTCTCCCTCCCCAGCTCGTCCTCTTGCTCTCTGCGTCCTGGCTGCCATGACTTGGGCAGCCTTCGCCCCAGACCCTTCAGGTTCATCTTCTCGCCGTGGAGCTGGTGACTCTGGACTAAGAAAATGAGCCAAAATAACCCTCTCCTCTTTTAAGTAGCACGAGTCTGGTACGCTGTCTCAGTGGGGGGAAAGTGACCAAGACAGGCACCCTGCCCCTTTCACCACAGGCTCCAGCACAGAGATAAATGACCTTGTACCTGAGACTCACCATGCTATCATGAAGTTACAGGACGCTGGTTTTATGCACATTTTTACTACGTACATACATCCTTTTCTTTGCCTTCCATAGGTTACGTAGCCCATCATGCAGCACCTATTCTTTCTCAATTCTAAAATGTGTCCTACAAAGGCATCTTTTCTGCTTTCCCATTTAAGCTCCCTGTGCATATTTTGAAATGCCAATTCAGAATTATCGTACCTTATGTCTCCCACATTGCAACTCCTAAGGCCTCACCTTTTACTTTTGCAGTTCATGAGTTTGAGCTGATTGACAACAACGCAGTCAGCTGTCTTTCACCAAAGGCAACCTGGTTAGCAGTACGTATTTTTCCAGCCACTTTCTATGCAGAGACAGCATCTCACAAACGCGGGTCTTGCCTACATGCTGGGGAGTCTCTCTGGAGGTCCCCTCCTCTCTTCCAGGTGTTTGCAATGAACTACATACCCAGTCTTTTTTATTTTTTATTTTATTTTGAAACCGGATCTCCCTAAGTCACTGAGTTGCCGAGGCTGGGATCGAAGCGCCGGGATCACAGGAGTGCGGCACGACGCCGAGCTAGGGCAGTGTTTAAGACATTCTTTTGAGGACCTGTTTTTCCTGGAAGCCGCGTCTCCTTTGCAGACACTACTTCAGGTCCTCGACCCGCGTGGTCTCATCGCCCGTTACCGCACAGCGTGCTCTGCCACCGCGGGCACCGCGGGCACACGCCGCGACACCTGCGCTTCCGGGCCGGCGTTTCTCCGGAACCGCACGCACGCTCCTCTGCCTTTCCCACCCGAACTCCGGAAGCTGGGGGCAGTACTTCCGCCGCACTTCCGCTTCGTTGATCTTCCGGCCGAGGCGACTGGGCTCACAGCTCCCCGGATTGGGCGCCCTGCGACGGTGACGCGGCTCCGGGCGGGGGACGGGCTTCCGGCCGCGGGCGCCTCTGTGGTTGGCGTCATGGCGGGCGCTCCGTGGGGCCTCGCTGCCGGCCTGCTGCTGCTGCTGCTGCTGCTGTCGGGGGCTGCCCGGAGCTCGGAGGTGCCCGGCGCTGCCGCTGAGGGCTCGGGCGGCAGTGGCGTCGGCCCGGGAGATCGCTTCAAGATCGAGGGGCGTGCGGTCGTCCCCGGGGTGAAGCCGCAGGACTGGATCTCGGCGGCCCGCGTGCTCGTAGACGGAGAGGAGCACGTCGGCTTTCTGAAGTGAGTGCCCGCGGGGCAGCAGGCGGGCGGCCGGCGGGGTCGGCGCGAGGTCAGGAGGGGGCGCGGAGCAGGGCGGCGCCCGGAGGTCGAGCCCGCGCGGGCGGGGGCGCAGCGGGGCCTCTCCGCGCCCGGCGCCGGGGTCAGTTACGTTCTCCCGCGTGTTGGCCCCGTGTGGCGCCGGCCGCTCTTGGCCCGGGGGACAGGGTGACTTTTTACCTCTTGCTGGATTTTTTCCTTTGCATCGCGTCTGGTTTCTTTAGAATCCGGTCGCTTTTTGCCTTCATTTGAGTCCTTTGGTAACTTTGTGTTGTGTAGAAAGATGCTAAACATGTGGGAATTCTCAAAGCCCAGAGGGCTTTCGGTGATGACATCGGCAGGGAGGCTGATGTTACTATTTCTAAAATTAACGTGCCCTGAAGTCCCTAATCAGAGCACTTGGGTTTTTTTTGTGAGGGGCCCTGGGATTGGGATTATTGTTCTTTTTACACTTGAATTCGTCGAGGGATTTGCAAAACCACGCTTGTCGCCCATGTGAAACTACGGTCTACATTGGTTACACATGTTTTTAGTTTCTAGCTGTTACTGGGAATGGGATTTCTACCTATTTTAGAAGAAGGGATGCATTTGTTGGCTCTCCAGTTTGGCAGCAGTCTGCTTTTCATATGTGTAGGCACAAGTATGAAGTTTTAAGTCTTTCCACCACCGCGTGGAAAGTGAAATAATAAAATGAAAGAAAATAGGAAAGGAAGATATGGTTTGGGCTGGTTTGCACACCAGCAAGTGGCGTAGACCACTTAAATGTGAACATTTAAGTTTGGTGTGCAGATTTGTTCACACCAGCCAAGTGCCCACCTGAGCGATTAAACCGCAGGTTAATAAAGACAACGAGGGGCCGGGGATGTAGCTCAGCGGCACAACGCCTGCCTGGCAAGCGCAAGGTCCTGAGTTTGATTCCTGGTACAAAAAATAAATAAATAAAAGCGACACTTTTACCACTGGTATTTTCAAAATGTTTGGCATTAGTAATCTGGCGCGAGGAGTCTTTAGGGTTTACCCTAATTAATGTTTTAATGGTAAAACTCCCACTAAGCTTTGGAAAATGGCCTTAATGGGCCATTTGACTTTTCCTCTGCAGTATTCAGTTCTCTTGAAAAGCGTTTTTTTCTTGTTTGTTTGTGTTTTTGGTTTTTTTTTTTTGAGACGGGGTCTCGCTCTGCGGTTCAGGCTGGCCTTGAACTCGAAGTGATCCTCCTGCCTCAGCCTCCCAAGTGCTGGGATTACAGAGTGCTGGGACTACAGGCATGTGCCACCACAGCCGGCTGAAAAGCGTGTATTTTTAATGTTAAAATAATGTAGTAGTAATATGTTTATTGAAGAAAATGAGAAACTTTCTTTTTGAAAGTTGTAACATAGTAACAGCGCTTCTTTTTCTTTCCTTTTTTTTTTTTTGAGACAGGGTCTGGCTGTGTAGTTCGGGCTGACCTTGAGCTCACTTTGTAGCCCAGGGTGGCCTTGAACTCATAATGATCCTGTGTGCTGGGATTACAGACCTGCGCACTACACCTAGCTCAATGCTTCTTAACCTAAAACACACAATACTTTATAATCTGCCCTTTTCACTTAGTGTTTGTGAACAGCTTTTAATATCATTCGTGGTGTTAATATTCTATTATCATATACATAGAAAAGTTGATTGAGAATTAATGAGTTTACGGTAACAGTTTTGTTGGAAGAGGGGTATATAATTCGGCTTGTAGCTGTTTTGAGTAACGCACAATTTTGACTTACATGTGTGCTTTTTTGGCTAATGGAGGTATGGGGAGTTGGGGCTGAAGAGTACTCATGCCATTTCTTAACATCATCTCTATGTATAGAAGCCATAATTTGTTTAACCTCTCCATTTTCTTTTTCTGAACCTGGGGATTATGAGTGAATAATACTCCCAAACTATGTTTCAAACCATGCAGGGAGTGTTGTAGGCAAACACCTTTGAGGGCAGGCCAGGCACATGGTGGAGGACTGTCCAACTTCTTCCAGGCTGTCTGTGCACAGGAGTTTGTCAACAGCCTGAGTAGTCCAGGGACACAGGATAGATAGACGGCAAGGGACCAAAAGGGAGAGGTAATTAGGTCCTGGTGACTAGTGAGATACGGGGGAAAGGGCATGTGTACAAGCTTTTGGAAGAAGCTGGGGTGCAGTCAAACAAGACGGACTCTCCAGTCAGAAGTCTGCACTGCTCTTACACCCGCAGACCCTTCTCCTTCCTTCTGGATCATGATCTTCTCTTCTCTTTTCTCTTTTCTCTTCTCTTTTCTCTTCTCTCTTCTCTCTTCTCTCTTCTCTCTTCTCTCTTCTCTCTTCTCTTCTCTTCTCTTCTCCTTTCCCTTTTTCTTCCTCAATTTTTGAATTTTAAATTGTTTTCAGGGCTTTTTTGACAAAGATTATATGCTGCAATTATATACTACACTTTTTGGAAATTTTTATAATGGAAAATCTCACACATATACAAAAATATGAGTCCTTGAATACTCACCACAGTCTCCTGTTTCATTTCATATATTCTCTACAGTTCATGTACTTTGTTTCTAGTATATTTTCAAATGGTCCTGAGTTTAACACTGTTTCACTTGTAAAAGCATTTATTATGTATCTCTAAAAGGTAAGGACTTAAACAAAAACCATAGTGCCATTACAGATTCTACAAAATAAATCATCACTTAGTATCCTAACATCCATTCTATTTTTGTTTTCCTAGTTATATAAAAAAGTACATTTATATATTTGTTCTTTCAATAGAGCCTCCACAGTGAAGAATACCTTTTACTGTTGTTTGATTTTTGTTTTTTGTTTTTTGGTGAGGTTTTTTTTTTTTTTTTTTTTTTCTGTATTATTTTTGGGTCAGGGTCTTGCTACCTAGTTCAGGCTAGTCTTGAACTGACTTGCCAAGGCTGGCCTCAAACTCCGTGGCTGTCTTCCTGTCTCAGCCTTCTGAGTGCTGGGATTACAGGGGTGTGTCCACCTGACTGAAGAACACATCTTAAAACTAAGTTTAAACATTTTTTAAATAAAACTTGTGTTGTCTCCTTTAAGTAAAATGTTTACCTTAGAATAAAGTGCACATTTAGTCCTGTCCAGTTATCTGCTTAGTTTTTCTTTTTTTCTGGACGTAGAATCAATCTATCTATCTGTCTTTCTTTCTTCCTTTCTTTCTTTTTGATACTGGAGATTGCACTGAGCTACATCCTCCCTGCTTTTTTAATTTTTAATTTTTTCATTGTGAGACAGGGTTTCACCAAGTTACTAAACTGGCCAGGCTGGGCTCAAAGTTGTGTGCCTCCTGCTTCGGCTGCTCAGCATGTTGGGACTGCAGGCCTCTTCCATCATGCCGGGGTCAGAAGAACATTTTGAAATTGGCTCAGTGGGGTTCCATGAAGAAGTAGATGCACTCAAATAAGAGTAATTCACAGATTAATGAAAGGATTAAACAATGTTGTCACGGTATAGGGAAACCACCAGGTTGTGCTGTACCTTGGGAGGATACAATCGTGTGACTGTTACCTGACTGTTACCGTCTCTGAGCGTCAGGGAGGAGGGGACACAGAGGTTTCTGGAAACTCCACGGGAAAGAAGGGCTGCCTTGGAGAAGCTGTGCCCGCAACACAGCCAGTCAGAGGTGCCCACTCACCGATAAAGCTGAGGAGAAAATGTACCGTCTTGCTTTCTTGCCTTCTTGCGTTCTGTGGAGCGAAGGCTGCAGAGTGGGTCAGGAGGAAGGTGGGAGATGTCCACCCCAAGAATAGGTTAACTTGTTGGACTTTTATGTTTGATTTTGTTGTAGTTTAATGTGTTCTTTGAAGTTACAAGAAACACTTTCTCTTTTTATCTTCTGGTAAATATTGTGGATATAACCAGGATCAATTAATTACTCCTTTAACTATCAAAGACCCTAAAGATTTAAGAAGCATTATTTTAACATTATTATGATAGTGGGGATTTTCTGATGTACTTGGTCCTTTTCAGAGCATTTGTTACCCTGAGACAGACTTTTCTTTTGGAATAGCAGTTTCTCATTTTCCAAAGACATTAACTTTTACCTGCCAAATTATATCAGTTCTTTTTTTTTTTTTGTCTTTTGAGACAGTGTCTCACTGTGCAGTTCAGGCTGGCCTTGAGCTCATTGTGTAGCCCAGGCTGGTCTCAAACTCACAACAGTCCTCCTGCCTCAACCTCCCGAGTGCTGGGATTACAGGCGTGTGCCACCACACCCGGCTATATCAGTTCTTGATAGGGTAGTTTTTTAAAATTCAGCAGGTTTAGAAGAAATCAGTAAAGAAGAAAAGATGGATGGTTTTAAATACATAAACATTTTGTGCTTGTACACGTTCTCAAAAAAGTAACTAAAGTGAGTGTGACTGTTTCTAATAAGTGGAATAAATACTATGTAAATCCTTTTTACTGTTTGTAAAGAAGAAAAAACTCCCAACAAAATACAAATTAAAACAAAATGCAACAGAATCTCCCTTCTACCTCCCTGGAGATTGGGAATTGAACCCAGAACTTCTCATTGAGCTATGTTCTTAGCTCCCTGCCCTTTGTACATTTTGAGATAAGGTCTCACTAAATTGCTCAGTTGCCTAGGCTGGGTGTGAACTTGTGCCCCTCCTGTCTCAGCCTCCCAGGGTGCATAACAGGCTGCCATTTTTAATAGTAAGAACTCGTTTAGGGGATTGGCAAAATGTGGACCATAGTACTGTAATAGTAGATATTGTTTCCTTTTAATGAATAAGAACGGTATTCCTGCTACCTGTCATTTCTACACATAGAAGGAATTATTGTACTTCCTATGGCAGGGTTTTCTGCTACTTTTAAGAGGTCACAAATATTTTCAGAACCCATTTAGTGTAATTGTGGAAGATGAAATGTAGCACAAATCTTGGCACATTTTTTCCTTGGGTTTATTTATTTATTTGTTTTTGGTCAGATGGTTTTAATGTTATAGGGGTGGGATTGCTTTAGGAATGAACAGAGGATTTAAAACATAAGGAAAGACTAAGGTGTTGATCAGAGTGACTAAGGAGCTTTTCTTTCTTCCCCCAGGACAGATGGCAGCTTTGTTGTTCATGATATACCTTCTGGATCTTACGTAGTAGAAGTTAGTTCTCCAGCGTACAAGTTTGATCCTGTCCGAGTAGATATTACTTCAAAAGGAAAAATGAGGTGAGGGCATCTTACTTAATTTTTAGGCCAAAGCAAGGCTCTTGCATATCTCACTGTACATTCTTTTTAGAATTTATAGTTAAGATTGAAATGTTGTCTTTCTTGAACTACCGTTACCCCTTAAAATATTTAAAATATCCTTACATTGTTTTAATATGAACATTGATAACATTGTGAAGTTGAACCTCTTCCTGTTCTGGCTTAAAATTTGTTTTAAAGCTCATAGTATGATTATATAAAGAAAGGTAAGATTACTGTAGGAACAAAAGTACTGTGAAAGTTGTAATAGAAGTGTGATCTTTAAAGTAGGAAATAATGTAACTTTTCAAATTGAAAATAGCCATTTTTTTGTTGTAATATTTTATGTTATTACTTACTTGATACTACTTCCATCTAAACATCTGTATAGCTCCTCCCTTGTGGAATACTTAATATGCAATGGAAATTTAGTATTTCTAGAGAAAGCTATAGGTTACATTGTGGAGTTTACTTCAAAGTGAGGATGATGATAAAAAGAAAAGATGAAAGCACAGTATTTGAGGTTGGCAGGGTAGGAAAGTATTGCAGTTTTGAAACTGAAGTAAAAGGACTTCGGTCTAATTTAGGCTGTGATTATGGAATAATAAAACCTGTTTGGAGTCGACAACAGTTGTGTGGATGTCTACAGTCTTCAGTTATAAAAGAGCAAATTTATGGCTGCTGCATTTGCTCTTACATGGTGGCCTGCCCTCACACTGTGGCTTGTACAACTTTTCCTTTTACTAGTTGCCCCAAATTTGCTCAAGCAGTTTTAAGTGATAATATCTCTTTCTGTTTGAGTTATCTCAATATTACTCTAGGTTGCTATAATGAGACACAGATCATGCAAAGGGAAAAATATTTAGGACATTGGAGAAACCTACTGATCTTTCTGATATATGCCAAGAATGCTTAGGCTGATTTGTAGAGACCCAAAACTAAGCTGACAAAAATACGTATATTTGAGTTTGTATTTCCTCCTAAAATATTTTTTGTCTTTGCTTTTTTTGATATTACAAGTTTTTAAGATGTAATATATAACCTGCTTTTATTGATGAATAAGTAGTGTTTTTACCCCCTCCTTTTGTAGCATGTATAGTGTATAGGACAGTTAGCAAGAGAATTAATTCTTGATATTATCATGAAGGCAATCTTACAGTGTTGCTAATAAATACATTCTTTTTTTTTAAATTTTTTTCCTTTGTGACTTTTTGAGACAGGGTCTCACTATGCAGTTCGGGCTGGCCTTGAGCTCACTTTATAGCCCAGGCTGGTCTTGAACTCACAACGATCCTTCTGCCTCAGCCTCCCCAGTGCTGGGATTACAGGTGTGTGCCACCACGCCCAGCCTAAATACATTCTTTACAAAGAAATTTCTTTTTATCTTGCTATTTTTCAAATAAAATTGTTGAATATTCTACTTATAATGTTCTACTTTGCCCAGATTCGTGTCATATTTCTTGCTTTTAGCTATTTAGAGCAGGGATAAAAACTTCAGTTGAAAATAATACCTTGCAAAATATTTTTATATGTACTTTTTGATGGAATAAGTGGATTGTTGGCAAAGATTGATCTCTTTAGGTACTGACTTTTTCATGTCTTTTTAGAAACACAGATTTTGAAATAAATATATAGGGAAAATTTTATCGTGCAAAATTTCAGTCTTAAAGTACCTACAGTCTTTTACATATTTTAGAATTGCTGCTGAGTGTTTGCGGCCATCCTGGGCTACGTTTTCTTTATCCTTCATCCATTGGTGGAAATATAGGCCACTTCTAACACTTACCAATTATGATTTGTGTTGCTGTAAGTATGGGTATTCATGTATCACTGTAATATGATGTCATTAATTATTTTGGGACTATCTGTAGAAGGAAAATAGCTGGGTCAAATGGAATTTCTTGTTTTACCTTTTTGAGGAACCTCCATACTGATTTCCATAATGGTTTTACTAGTTCATCTTCCTACCAACAATGTAGACACCTGTGCCCTTCCCGATAGCTTCACCAGCATTTGTTGTTACCTGATTCTTGATGATAGCCATTCTTTATGAATAAGATGCAATTTTGGTGTTCATTTTTCCTTTCTGTAATGGACAGAGATGTTGAACACTTTTCATGTATTTACTGGCCATTTGTATTTCTTCTGAGACGTATCTGTTCATTTCAACTGCCCATTTTTTGGATCCTTTATTTTATGGGGTCTAATTTTTTTGAGTTCTTTTTAAATTCTGAATATTAGTCCTCTGTCTGAGGAATATCAGATAAAATTTTTTTCTTACTCTGTAGGTTCTCTTCACTCTGTTGGTTGTTTACTTTGCTGTGCAGAGCTTTCTTGGGGGGTGAGTGGGTACTGGGAATCGAACTCAGGACTTTGTGCTTGCCAGGCAGGTGCTGTGCCACTGAGCTATATCCCTAGGCCCTGTGTAGAAGCTTTTAAATTTGATATGATCCTCTTGTTGATTGTTGGTATTATTTCTTGTGCAGTTGGGGTTTTATTCAGAAAGTCCTTACTTACAACCATGTCTTCAAGAGTTTTACCTATCATGATCGGGCATGGTGGTACATGCCTGTAATCCCAGCACTCAGGAGGCTGAGGCAGGAGAATCTCTGAAGTTCAAGGCCAGCCTGGGCTACATAGTGAGATTAAGGCCAGCCCGAACTGCACATAGCAAGACACTGTCTCAAAAAAACAAACAAATAAACATTTTTACTTATTATATCTTTTAGCAGATTGTTTCTGTTTTAATATTTAAATCTTTGGGCTGGGGATTTAGCTCAGCGGCAAAGCGCCTGCCTGGCAAGCGCAAGGTCGTGAGTTCGGTTCCCAGTTCCGGAGAAAAACCAAAAAAAAAAAAAATTTAAATCTTTGATTTTTTTGAGATCTTTGATCCATTTTAATTTTATAGTACAAGGAGTGAAATATGGGTCTAATTTCAATCTTCGACATGTGGATAGGGAGTTTTCCCAGGACCGTTTGTTAAAGAGGCTTCCTTTCCTCTAGCATAAGTTTTTGAGCACTTTGTCAAAGACCAGGTAACTTAATATGCTTGGAGTTGTTTCTGCATCTTGTGTTCTGTTCCACTGATCCACATGTCTGGTACTCTTTCTGTTCTTTTTGTTAAGTACCATGCTGTTTTTATCACTATAGCTTTGGTAGTATGATTTAAAACACGTGATTGTGATGCCTCTTGCCTTGTTCTGTTTGGAGGAGGGGCTGGGCTAAAAAGTTTTATTTCTTTTGTTTTGTTTTGTTTTTGTTTTTGTTTTTGTTTTTGTTTTTGTTTTTGTTTTTCTCCGGTACCGGGAACCGAACTCATGACCTTGCGTTTGCCAGGCAGGCGCTTTTGCCGCTGAGCTAAATCCCCAGCCCCTATTTCGTTTTTAAATTTTTTTAACTTTATTTTTTATTACTACGCATTTGTCATACATATTGATCACAGGCATCATAGAGAATCTGTACCTGTACATAATATCTTTTTTTTTTATGTGCTCTCTTATAACTATCACTTTTATTTAACATGATTCATTAGTCAATTCAAGTTGCAAAGGTAGGCAGGAGCATAAAAAGTGGAAGAAAAAAGGTAAAATTACTTACAGATGACATCAACATACTTAGAAAACTAAGCAGAAGGAAACAGCCCATTTGGTGATAGAACAAAAGAATACAGTGTATATGAATAAAATTTATCAACAAATGTACAAGTTTAACAAATGTACTAAAGAAATTGTAAGCTAGCAAAAAGCATTTTAAAAAATGCCCTAAGTATGGTATGTTCTTGAACATAAAATTCATTATTTAAAAATTGATAATACAAAGATTATGGATACCCAGGAAATTTATGACATGATAAATGTTGACATGAAATTCCTAGTAATAATTACATGAAAACGTTTTTACATAAATCAAAACCAGGAAATAAATAGCATTACAAAGCAAACAAAATTGAAGATGTAGCTCACTAGTAAGGCAATTACCTAGCATACACAAGCCGAGGCTCAGTTCCCAACACAGCAAGGGGCAAAAATAAATTGCTTTGTATTCACCAAGGAGGAACATGTAAACAACAGAAATACTGGCCAAACCACCGTCCTCTGGCCTCTAGAAAAAACTAAGTTATGTATTAAGTCCAGCCCTTCTACGTTAAATTAATTAACTTTGGTTACATGTTAAATACACTTTCCAGATATATCACACTGAAGAGAAAAAATGAACCCAATTCAATAAATTCAAATTCCTATTATAATTTAGAGTAGGCTATCAGTCCTACTAATAGTATACACAAAAGGGACTCTTGCCTATTATGATATAAATTATGACCATTTCAGTATCCCAATGAGCTGACAAAAACAATACATTTTTTTAAAATTTTAATTTTCATTTTTTTTTTTGGTACTGGGAATTGAACTTAAGACCTTACACTTGCCACACAGGTGCTTATGCCACTGACCTAAATCCCCAGCCCAACAATACGTTTAAAGTCAACAGACCCACAGTGAGGACAAGGATCTCTCCCAGGACTGAACTCCTATAAATGACAACATGGCAACAAAAGCTGCCTTAAGATATCTTTTACTTTTTATTTCCTCATCTAACTAATTTATCTGAGACTTAATTTTGTTATGCCTTCTTTCCCCATTTATAAAATGCCCAAACTGGCTTTCTATATTACCAAAGAGATCAAGTAAAAGCACATACTTACATTATATGTAACGATGTATCTCTGGAGTGGGACCCAAATCTAAATAGAAATTCATTTATTCATGTTTCACACACACATTACACACATGGGCTGATGGTAGTGTGACACAACATTTTATTTACATAATTTTAACTAATTTTGTGCATGAAACAAAGTTTGTGTACATTGAATGATCCGACTTTCATGTCAGTGCTTGAAAAGTTTCAAATTTTGGAACATTCCAGGTATTGGATAGGGGCTGTTCAAGCTGCACTTTTACATGGGACCTGGAACACTGGTA